CCCGGACTTCCGCAAAACAGGAGCAATAAAAATCGAACGTATGTCCTCATAAAAACGACAACGCAACAGTACATGTGCAGCAGTCTCAACCTCCAACGAGCCACAGGGGCAGACCCGCGCTGCGTATGGTTTACCCTCAAATCTGCCCTGAAGTAAGGCAGAAGGGAGAACGTTGAATCTGGCAAGGGTAAAAGACCGTCTGTATTTAGGTACCTGGAGACCTGACAGATAGTTAGCTGGAGAAAAACCTCTCCCATAGTCCCGTATTGCAGGATGTTTGATCATTTCACTCATGTGGCATTGTAATTCTACATCCCAGATACGCTGGCGAATTGTGGTCCTAGCTTTCTCGAAGCCTGCGGCTATCAGGGTCTGCTGTGGGATCCCCAAGCCTTTAAGCTTTTCCAGCAGTGTAGCCTTCCATCTGGATTGGTAGGTATCCAATAAGGTCAAAGGTGCCAGCCCAACCGGGAAGAAAATAAGCTTTAGCCAGTAATGGATCTTCAATATCCATATCCGGGTACTGATCGGAATTTGCCCAACCTCCAAACGGACTGCTATGTTGGATACGCAAGAGGGGATCCCCAGCAGGCAGCGGAAAAACTTAGTTTGAAATGCCTCTAGGAGAGTAAGGTTTAAAACTGCAGATCTGGGATCCATATAACAATTGTGGTAGTATTTTGGCAGCAAAGACCTGGGAGGCTGCCGGTATGTACTGGCCTCCTTTCCCATAGAAGAATCTTATTAACGCTTTGGTAGATCTTTCTGCATTTGCAATAGTATTATTAATCTGAAAGCGCCAGGAGCCCCTTTCCTGGAAGGTTACACCCAGGTATTTAAAGGTTGCTACCTGTTCTATTAAGCGGTTGTCTATTCTCCATTTGTGCCTCCTCATTTTTTTGGAGAACACCATAACTTTGGATTTGTTGTAGTTAAGGTTTCAGGTTAAGAACGGACCTCCGGAATGAATTAAGTACGTAACCAGAGGTACCACTGTATTTTGATATTAGCCATCAATGACGTGCACTCACTTATTTCAGGGTTGTGGGTTCAAGCCCCACGTTGGGCAAAAGATTCCTGCATTTCAGAGGGTTGTACAAGATTACCCTCGTGGTCCCTTCCAGGTCTACAATTATATGAAATTATTTCAGTGGTAAGCCCCACCTTTCCTTATAAACTCTAGATTGGAAGAGTCTCTCTTTATTGCTTTTCCAAGCATCTAGTGCAAGGTAAGAGATATCCGATTGCTCTAAACCTCTCTGAAGTCAGTATGATGTACTGGAGAACGACCACTCTTCTACAAATTCTGAAGAAGGATGGGGGAACCTAATAATAATAATAATAATAATAATAATAATAATTTTAAGCCAGAAGTGAATTTGTATTTCTGGATTCTTGTCTGATAACATATAGACTCTGGTAATAAACCATTCATCCCGGTGAAAGCATGGGCAGAGCCCTGTACATTCCAAGGGTGCGCAAAGCTACAAAGCATTTTAAAGATCTAGATCTTTAAACTTTTGATTCAGCTGTTAAACAAATGACAGTTGTGTCTCCCATATCCATGAATCCTGATGATCACTTATATAAACAATGTCAAGTGGCAGTAGCAAATATATTTCTAAGCAAATGTGACTTTGGTTTCCAGGATGAGTGTTGATAGTTGTGTACCACCATCAATTATCTTAATCTTGTAATTTGAAAGCAAACAAATCTGCTATAGAAAACCTAAAGCCTTGAGATAGAAAAAAACTTCAGGCTCTTTATGTCTGTTGATCTCCTGCTCTCCAATGTCACTGTGTGCTTTTAGCAAAGCCCCTGGTTTTGACACAAGGTGTGCAGAGCACTTTAGAAGGTGAGACAGGATTAGCTATTTCAATTCAGGTCGTAGTTGATCTTTGATGTTCTGGATGATCCCCCAGATGCCACAGTTTACATTTTCTCTTTCTTAAACTCAGTTGGTATTCTGCTAATTTATCGGAAAAGGTCAGCCCTGCATTTCCTGTGAAGTAATTAAGAGTTTTTGCACTGGCTTAAAGATTTTGCTAGTTTATCATTTATCAAACCACTCAGATTAGGGATTTGTATGAAGTAGAAGTGGCCAATCAGTGACTAAAGTAAATTGTCAATGGAGAAAAGATGCCTGATATCATTTGGAGAAAAAACCTGTCACTTTGGGGTAACTAATCCTATAAAATTACATTTTTTTGGTATCACATATCAGGTAGACAGAGCACAACACTCTATCCTGGATTTCAGGAGCCCTTGGGGCTATCTCTCCAGACCACAGCCCTCCCTAGTCTTGCTTCATATCTGAGTGTTTTTACTTGCCTGGAATGTTTCCTTGAACTATGATAAATAACTCTTCTTGATAGCCTCTATGGAAGACAGAGAAGGGTAGAAACTAGCCTACTGCACAAGGGTAAAATATTGTCGTACACCACCTCAATCTCTGAGCAGTGCGAGATCCCAGGGCTTCAAGGTGCTTGCCCAGGGTTTGCGTTTTCTTCTGGACAATGAAGCACAGCAGAGACTGTGGTGTCTTTATGATATATGGTTTATTTACACATATATACAACCCTGAGCCTACAGTGGAGGGGTTCATCTTAGCCATAGCCTTGGATTCAAGCAGAAATCAAACACCTCTCTTGCTTCCCAGTCTGCAGCTTCTCTTCCAGCTGCTAGCTCACACAACTCAACTCTCTGCTCTCGACTCTTCCTTTGTCCTTCTAACTATTTGCGAGTTGAACAAGGGGGCCCTACCCATTTGCTGTCTTGCACAGAGCTCCTACCTTTGTTCCCCTTAATGGCTCATCCCCCGGGCTATCACTACACCAGGAAGCTAGCTTGACTATTCCAAGAATTAGAAGGGCACCCATGCATTGAGCCTAACCTTCCCCCACAAAAAAAATCTCATAGCAATATATACATTTCTCTTCCCACTTTTGCCCTGCCTACCGCTAGCATGCCCGCACCCGACTCCAGAGGGTTGTGCAGAAGATAATGTGACGCTTGGGCTGCAAAAGGTGCCCCACCAGTTATATTGTGCTCCTCTCCCCTGCATGCTCAATATGTGAGGTTCACCTACATGGAGGCTAGACACTCTTCAGAGTTGCAGATACTGTATTATCTGCTCTCTTTTTATTACAAGGTTTTACTTCCTGTTCTTCAGGATAGAAATAGTTCTGCAGTAGCTTATAAGGAACATTAAACTACTTTAAAAAAAAAAAAAACACAAGAGACAGTAGGAGGTAAGATGTGTTATAGGTTAAAAGGAAGGAACAGGCTGCCCCTGACAACTTGCTCAGCCTATAAATTCCTTTTCAGTATCAGACATGAGTTCACAGTCCTTTCATACAGACAAAAATCTGCCCCTTGTTTTTGCCCAACCTTTCTTCGTTTCAGCAGCCTAATGTGGAAAAAAAAAGAAAAGGCCCTTTTTTTTGGCTTTTGCTATTGTTAAACAATTGGTAGCTGAAATCCTTGCCACCAGTAGATCCCGGATCTATAGTCTGCCAATCCCTTCCCCCACACTAATAGTTGTCATTCACCACCTGTACTAATAATGGAGAAGATCCAACATGTTCTTTCAGTCTTTCTTTCTCAGTATGCCATTATTCTGGGATCTGAGGTAAGAGTTTATTTTCCTCCCCTTTTGTAATTAATTATTTCAAGCTCTTAAGGTTCAAGGGAGATTTATAATCTGCATTAAATACACCCCCTGATTTAAAAAAGACATTTGGGTGTGTATTATAAAAATGGAAACCATATAAATTGCTGGGGTATTAGAAATTGATATAGCATGGCAATAGAAAAAATACTCTTCAAATTGAACAGAATATAATAATAATAATAATAATAATAATAATTTTATTATTATAATATGATGTAATATAACACTGGTTATTGTAATACTACAGTAAGAACAGTTTCAGGTTAAGACTGGGAAGAATGGACCTCCGGAATGAATTAAGTACTTAACCCGAGGTACCACTGTATACATATTCTAATGTCCCAATCCACATACCAATAGCAATATAGTTTTAAGCTTTAAACTGATTTAATCTCATTGATATGCCCACCTAGACAGGGTGGAATAAACATAATAATAGGGATATATGAGATTTAAGTATTCAATTCTAAGCAACCTTGCGTACATAGAATTAATTGAATTTCTAGATGGAAGCCAATCACAATGTCTGGGATTGACAAGAGCATGAAATCATTCAAGAATCAAACCTTGCTGTTGATCACATACCCCCGTACCCTCTTATTTATTTTCTAAATTTAATTGATGCCTAATAACAGCTATCACTCTCTGGGCAACAAAAAAGAAAACAGCAAAACAAGAAAAAATCACAAAACAACAACAGCATGCAATATAAAAGCAGCATTAAACAATAATAAAAACATCTTTAAGAACCCATAAAAGTCTAGGAGAACAAAAAAGGTTTTTGCTAAAAAGATATTCAGTGTTAGTTGAGTCTTTCCAGGGATAGCAAAGGCAAAGGGACCCCTGACCATTAGGTCCAGTTGTGACCAACTCTGGGGTTGCGGCGCTCATCTTGCTTTATTAGCCAAGGGAGCCGGCATACAGCTTCCGGGTCATGTGGCCAGCATGACTAAGCCGCTTCTGGTGAACCACAGCAGCACACGGAAACGCCATTTACCTTCCCAACGGAGTGGTACCTATTTATCTACTTGCACTTTGACGTGCTTTCGAACTGCTAGGTTGGCAGGAGCAGGGACCAAGCAACGGGAGCTCACCCCGTCGCGGGGATTCGAACCACCGAAAGTCCTAGGCTCTGTGGTTTAACCCACAGTGCCACCTGCGATAGTGTTCCATAAATGAGGGCCCACTGCTAAGAGGGCACTTCCTCTTATAGCTACCCACTGTATATTAGCTGTAGAGGCACTTGTTGAAAGGTTTCAATTGATTACCACAGGGGATGGGTAGGTGGGCACAGGAAGAGGTAATCCTCCAGATACTGTGGTCCCAAGCTCAGATAGCTCAGTTAGTAGAGCATGTGACTCTTAATCTCAGGGTCGTGGGTTCAAGATGACCCTTGTGGTCTCTTACAGCTCTACAAGTCTATGATTCTAAGTCCTGAAGAGCTTTAAGGGTCAAAACCTGCACTTTGAATTTGGCCCAAGTAATGGACTGGGAGCCAGTGAATTTGAAAACCACTAGCATATGTTCTTATTACTTAAGCTTTCAGCCATATTCTGTTCCAACTGCAGTCTCCAGACCATTTCTGAAGGCAACTCCACATATACAACAGAGCTCTGCAATACGTATATACAGGAGGTTACTAGGGGCATGTACTACTGTAACCATGCCATCTAAATAGGGTCATAGCAAATGTACCAGCCTAAGCTGGTAGGTGGTACTCAGAGGCACAATGGATAGTTGAATCTCTAGTGGCAAAGACTGATCAACAGGAATCCTCAAACTATGTACCTGGTCCTTAAGGGGAGTGCAGTTCCATCCAGAACAGGTTACCGTAAGTCCGACTTGCCTTAAAAGGATGAGCCACCACCAACATGATCTCTAGCTCACCTGGATTGAACTTCAGTTTGTTAGCCCTCATCTGTTACCGTGGTGAGGTATCCATTTTGCACAGCCATAACCTTGCTTGTTCATGAACATCTGAAAATGCCTTAATTAGCAATAGAGAAGAGAGAGAGAGAAAATTAAATAGCTCTTTCAGTACAGTAGTTTATAATAGATCAATTGTGATGTGCAGATCTATGTGGGGGAATTTTATGTCATAAAGGGGCAACTAATTGTAATAAAATTATTTTTAAAAATATATTTATCTAGGGATTCTCCCTGTTGCATTTGTATCATCCATGTCAATAATATGAACACAACCAATGTCCTCCTCCTATCTGTGACACACTAAAATCTGGAATGGGTTTTAAACATTTAGCTCTTTTCTTGCCATATTCCCATTTAGAAATTCACACATACCTTTATTTCACCCCCAAACTTCTCTTCCACGCTATCCTATGGCTCATTCCACCTACCTGTCACCCCCCCTGACTCTTTAGTCTCATGTGTTTCTACTGCATTCTGGGAAACCTTCGTACAGATTTTGGCCAAACTGCCAATTAGGTCATTGCTAACCCAATAAACCTGGGAGGAAAAAATGGATCATATGTGATCATCTCTGGATGCATTACCAAGGTCCCTTAAGCTGGATTGGTTGCCACATCTTAAAACCTTGTCTATTTCAGCATGATGGCTAGGTCTACAGGTACAACAGAAAAGGCGGTAGCAGGCAGCAGAGTCCTGAGTAGGTAGAATGAACTATCATTTCACACTTTCAGTAGAGGAGGCTCAATTTGCAACATTATCCCAGACAAAACAAAGAAATGCAAACTCCCTGCCCTCAGAAAACTAACACAGCAGGGAGTGTGCTGCTATAGAAGTGTTTTCCCAAATGTGCTACATGGAAGAGCATTGAAATCTAGGATCCCTGAAGTGGTACCATCCACCTGACCACTTCAGGATGCTATCAGGCCCAGGAGTGGAAGGAACGATAGATGACCCCTCCTTTTTTTGATACATACAGGCTAAAGTTAACTTCAGAAATTAATGTATTGGGGGGCTCAGGTATAAGGTTCTATTACTTAAATTAACAATTACCTTGGCAAAGATATTTTTTCTGCCTGAAGCAAGGACAAAATGATGCTGTCCTTGTCCCCCAGTCAAGATAGAGAAGGCACCCTTGATGGCAGTATCTGGTAATCTGGCACCAGTGTGTGCATGCCTATAGTTAAAGGAACACTTAGCACATTTAGGAGACAGTTAATAAAACCTAGGTATAAGCCCTTGGTTCCCAACATGGGCGGCAATTTGACTTTTAAGGGGGGCAATTTGGACGCTTGTTTAGACCAAGTTAATGGCCTTTTAGGCTTCCTCCATGTAAATAAGAGTTCACTTTTTGAATAATAAGAATTATATGTCACGGAGGAGACATCAGGATTTTAGAGATGCTTGGGGGGGCATGGCCTAAAAAAGGTTGGGAACCACTGCTATAAGCCATGTTTAGTGGTGAAAGTTCCTTGATGCAGATAGTGCGATTCTTTCATATCACTTTCCTCACAGGGCATGGGGGGGGGAGGGCAGCTGCCCCCCAAAATAAAGTCAATAAATAAAAATACTTAACGTAAAGTAGAAAGATTTTGACAGACTTTTCTGAGCACTTGGGAGTCAAAAGAAAGTAATTTAACTGTTCCCGAGACATTCCTTTCTGAATCTGCTAAACAGAGGATGGTGGCACGGGCGTCCTACCCCCCTCCCCCAAAATCCCCCATAAATCATGGCTACGCTCACGTCCGAGCTGCGACCTCTTTTTAATGCTGGTTCTCGGGTTCAGTCCACACGTTCAGATGGGAGCCGTAGGGCGCTGACGCTTAATGGGAAGGAGCTGTGAGGAGAAGCTCTTTGAAGGCGGCGGGAAGCCATAATCATTAGCAAGGCTCCGTCAGGGAGGCGAGGTTGCTATTTCAGGACCGTGGCGACCGCTAACAAGGTTGGCTCGGCAAAGGGAGCGAGGCTGGGCGGCGGAGGGGTGTGTGTGTGTGTGGCGGGAACGACGACTCGCCTCAGAGGCTTCTTCCCCGGCACTGGAGAGCGCGCGCTCGCTCTGCCCGGAGAGGCACCTGGCGCGGGGCGCTTCTCTTGGCGCGCGCCAGTTTTTGTGTTTGTTTTTTTTTTTGTTAAGGAGCAATTCCTTTGGGAGGATGTTGCTCCGCGTGAGGAGGAGTACGGGGCGGGAAGGCGAGGGCAGGCTTATGAAGCCGAGCGGGCGCGCAGAGGCGGGGAGAGGGGCAGGAGAAAGAGGGAGGCGGTGACCTGAGGGAGGATAAGGTGGGAGAGCGCAGGGCCAACAGCGAGGACGACTTCGCTTCTCTTTCCCCCCCTCCCCCTTTCCCAATTCGGAGGCAAGAGTATAAACGGCGCGGTTCCTCGAGAGGCCGAACTCTCTCCCCCTCCTCTCACCGGCCCCGCCGCGCCCACCCTCTTCCTTTGGTGTCCGCTGCGCACAGCAGCCTGGACGGTGAAAGACCATGCAGAGGTCGCCTCTGGAGAAGGCGAACGTCTTCTCCAAACTTTTCTTCAGGTGAGTGGCCGCCGCCTGAGCGGGCACGTGCTGCTGGCGGGGTGGGCGAGAGCGAGGAAGGGAGAGCGCGCGCCGGCGAAGCTGAGGGGACCAGATGGAGAGGCAGATTGGCGTTCGCGCGGGAAACCGGGGGCGCCGCTCGCTGTACCGGGTCGCGCGCGCCCACCGGGGGGTGGAGTTTCCCCTTTCTAACCCTTTCCACACAGCGACGAAGCCTCGGGGACGACGGCGCGCCTCGGGGCAGCTGCTCGGTTTCCACGGGGACAATTGACTGTTGTCATTGCTCGCCTTCGTCCTGTCAAAGCCTGAAATGGTTAAGGGCTGGCATGCCGAGCTATCTCCGATCTCCCCCTGCTTCAGCAGGCAGGGGAGCGCAGCTAGCCTTTCGACTTGGCAAGTAACATCGCGCTGCCTGAGATGCCAGTAATGAGTCTTGAAAACAGTTGGCAAAGGGAGAGGGAAATAAGGGTTTGTTCCAGGAGGAGGAGGAGGAGGAGGACCCCCTCTCTTCTCCGCCTTCGTCCTTTGTGCGCTGAGCTTTTCCTTTTGCTGAGGGAAGCGCCGGCAATCTCCTAACTTTTGACCTGAAGCCAGATATTACAGACCCATTTAGTATAGAACGGATCATCATCCGAGTAACTTTGGGCAGTTCGGTGGCTTTTTGCTCGCCTGCGGGATCTGCTTGTTGCGCTTTCTGGGACTGGCCGACGTAATTCCGAGGACGAATCGGCCCGCAAGCAGGGATTTGCCTGGCAACAGGGGCCGGGCTGTCCTACCTACTGGGTGCTGCAAAGTGTTCCCAGCTCTCAGGTGCGAGGCTCCTAAAGGTCGACCTGAAATCCATGCTGGCTGATGCTGTGCGTGCTCATTCAGAAACGGCTGGCGCCGAACTCACCCCCCGCAAAGTGACTGAACTTGCAGTCTGATCTCCAAACCATTACATTGTACAGTAATAATTAAGAGCTCAGTCCTAAACTAAATGTGTTATTCGTTTCATAGGAGCCAACTCCCAGGGGCCTAGGTCCTTTCGCGCCACCCCAAAAACATTTTAGGGCCCCCCAAATTGATTGGCATTTCCCTCCCATCAGATGTCAAGGAAATAAACAACTAACTTGACTTTCAGAAGACATCTGAAGGCAGCCCTGTATAGGGAAGTTTTTAACGTTTGATGTCTTACTGTATTGTGTTTTAATTTGTTGGAATCCGCCCAGAGTGGCTGTGGAAACCTAGTCAGGTGGGTGGCATATAAATAATAAATTATTATTATTGTTAGTGTGTACAAAATGTCATGTGATCGATTATGTGGGGCAGAGCTTAACCTAGCCCCCCAATAAGTTGGCACCCCATATCTGTTGACACCCCATCAATCCTTTTCCCACTGAGCTCATGACTCACATACATGAGGTTCCTGCCTGATCTCCCATCCCAGCACTGATCAGATCAAAATTTGCTTAGCTTCAGCAATATGGCTTCATCCTGTGCCTTCAGGTGGAGGATGAGTCTATCAATGGCTACTAAGGAGGCATTGTTCTTCTGAATACCAGTTACCAGAAAGTGCAGGAGGACAAAGTGCTCCTGTGCTTAAGGTGCTGCTTGTGGGTTTTCTAGAGACATCTGCTTGGCCACTGTGAGAGCAGGATGCTGGACCAGGTGGGCCATTGGCCTGATCCAGCAGGACTCTTCATATGTTCAGATCATGGTCACAAATCTTATGTGATCCTTAGGGTGAGTTCCCAGATTCCATCCTACATATATTTTCGTTTGCTTTAAAGCCAAGACACACTGGGCAGACCACATCTGATGGTGAGAAGAGGCTACTAGACTCTTTTCCTTGCATTGTGTGGAAAATGAGATTAATACGAAGACTGTGGCCATCAAAGGAAATTGATTTACACTTGGTACAGGGCAGACAAAAGAGAGTAGTACTGTATGCAGTTAATTTA